GGATGGCATCCCACATTACTGTCATGCTTTGTCATTCTGGAGAGGAGCCACTGAGCAAGGTCAAGTGCCCTTCTCTGGGGAATCAATCATCCCAAATTATCACTGCTAAATCAATTGGAAAAGAAGCTTTGCAGGTCATCAGCTCTGAGCATAGCTGATTTGTTTGATTGGTTCTGGAAGGTTTCCAAAAGGTCAGGGTTTTTTTTTATTATAACGGGATCCGCTCCATCTCCCTCCCAGTTGTAGGAAAATAATTACAAGGGCTTTAATTATCATGATGAAGAAGGCCCAAGACAAAGGCAAATCCACCTTCAGAGGAGACTGGCCGCCCCGATGAGGTGTTGATGCATTCACATTCCGCACCACTGGGATAGAAATTAAAAATAAAACCTATCAAGGACAGAGGGAAGGGATGAGCAGAAACCAAAAATTGCCACGAGGTCAGAAATCTCAGGAATCTGGCCTCCCATCTCTCCTCGAGACCTGTCACTGAATCCACGCCCTCGGAACTCAGGCGGTGCCCGCCTCTGGCAGGACAGACCGTTAGCCCCTTGACCATAAACTCCCACAGAGGCATCGAGTTCCAGCGCTCTTACCGCCCTCAAGTGTTCTCACTGACACCGTCTGTGGCTCCCCCGTGTTTCATATGTATTTTATATTTATTGATGTGCCCTCTGCAGACTCATTTCTTTGTATCTAATAAACTTGAATAAGTGGAAATGCTTCTGCCCGTGTCCTTGTTAAAACCCATCGAGGGTCACCGGTGCCAAAGTAAGCCAGATATTTTTCAGGGTTAGACGGGCTTCTAAGAATGATGGGACACAAAGGATACTCACACAGGACCCAACACGTGCTGTGACATGCTGTGTTCAAAGTGGGGCCTTTCTTTTCTGAGCTGACATTACTAACTAACCTACATAATGTTTTTCTAGTTTTGGGGCACCTGGGTGGCTCAGTCAGTTTTCATCGGCTGCCTTTGGCTCAGGTCATGATTCTGGGGTCCTGGGATTGAGCTCCTTGCTCAGCGGGGAGTCTGCTTTCCCCCCCTCCTTCCCCTTCCTCTGCTTGTGTTCTCTCTCACTTACTCTCTCAAATAAATAAATCTAAAAAATAATAATAATGTTTTCCTAGTTTTTGTAGCTAAACTGAACTGATGGGTATTTGGGAAAAACCACCAAAGGAAAATCTTTCTCAAATGCATTTTCTTAAAAAAAAACCCCACAACTATATCTTTCTATTCATAGAAAACAGAGTATTGCTTATAGAATGCCTCTAATTTGTGTTAAAATGAAACAAACAGCTTTCGACCCGAAGTGCAGTGATCACCTGCCCCAGCTTAGCAAACCCCTCAAAACATCTATATGAGGCAGTGTCCTCTCGCTCTCCATTGTAGTATTTTCAAGTGGCCTCTTTGGTATGTGGTGCAGGGGAAATGAGGATCAGCTGCGAGGTAAGCTGGCTTAGGGGCAGACGGAGATCTGGCTCTCTATTTTGCCTCTTACAAGTCTGGGGATGTAAATTACATAACCAGTCTGTGCCTCAGTTTCCTCACGTGTAAAACAGGGACACAAATATGGACCTAAGCATGTAGTGGTAAAGATGCAGTGATATAAGCCCTAGACAAGCCCTTCACTCTTGGGTCCCAACAGACGCAGGTATGAGCGCACGCCGCACTCTCGGGTACATCACGGGCTGAGCACCCAACAGCTCACACTGGCTGCCCCCCGCCATTCCACCTCGATGGCTACAGAGCGGCTCAGAGCGCACCCCACTGGCTCTGCTGCAGGGAGAGAACACTAATTACATTTCGTAGATGTTCCCGAAGGAAGTCTCATCTAGAAACTAATTTCAAAGTTCACTGCTACTTTGCCTCCTATTTAGTGAAGGACCTGACTTGTTTTATCTTCACTCTCATTAGCAGAGGTAGAGAGAAGCTCTTTCACGACCAAAAGGGCCAGTCTGAGTGGAGAAGAAAAACAGTAGCCCAAGATCACTGACGAAGGGGCCGATGAAGGTCAAAGCCATGGACTGTGGAGATGAAGGAGCCATAGTTTTAGGCACCCCCGATGGAGTGAAGAGGGGGGAAGGTGGTAGCTACAGGGCTGAGGGAAGCAGCTTCACGGGGAGGGCTCTGACCTGTGACCTCCAGGAGTGAGTTCCGGCTTCTCACAAGGGGCCCCAGAGGTTTGGGCGTCCTTCACGAAGCTGCTCTGTTACGGGTTGAATGACGTCTTCCAAAAATGCGTCTGCGGAAGTCCTAACCCCACACCTCAGTGTAACCTTCTTTGAGAATAAGGTTGCAGATGTAATTCGTTAAGATGAGGTCATACGCAATAGGGTGGGCCCTAATCCAGTCTGACTGGTGTCCTTGTAAGAAGGGGGATTTGGACACGGACACAGGGACAGTGTGTGAAGATGAAGACAGATCGGGGTGCTGCTGCAGGCCGGCAAACCACCAGAAGCCAGGGGAGAGGCATAGGACAGAATCTCCCCCACAGCCCTCAGAGGGAACCAACCTCGCGGACACCTTGGTTTTGGACTTCTCGCCTCCAGAACTGGGAGACGATCCATTTCTGCAGTTTGAGCCAAGCACTCTGGTATTTCACGGTAGCAGCCCTAGCAAACGAGTGCGTGCTCTGTCGCCGTGGAGCTTTGTGGGAGGACGTTATGTTTCTGAAAGAAGAGTTGGAAATAGGTTTACAGAGCTAGCTGGTCCTTGTCATATAAATGCGGCAGTCCCCTTCTCTGACCTTGACCTGAGTCACTTGTGACCAGTGACGAAGTCCTCTCGTCATGAACAAGCTACTCAGTTGCCTTTTGCCTGTCACAGTGGCGACCGAATCATGGGAGCAATCTGGCATTTCTAGGTCATGAAAGTGGGGACAGCTGGTCTTTCTCTCTAGTGGCATCTTCAGTGGCCGTGCCACGCAGTTAACATAAAGATGCTTGGCACGGATGGCACCAGCTGTTCTGGGGATCAAGACTTCCGTCTCTAGTGTGGTTTTTGTTTAATTGTGGTAAAATACACATGACATAAATTCACCATCATAACCATGTTCCAGGGTACAGCTCAGTGTGGTTAAGTATAGTCACAGGATGGTGCAACCAGTCTCCAGAATTCTTTTATCAACTTGCAAAACTGAAACTCTCTACCGCCTTGACAGCAACTCCTCGTTCCCCAGCCCCCCAGCCCCTGGCAACCGCCATTCCACTTTCCGGTTACTACTCCTGGGACCTCATCTAAGTGGAATCATACGATATTTGCCTTCTGGATACCGGCTTATTTCACTCAGAGTAACATCGCGGACACTTGGGTTGCTTCCACCTTTTGGCTACTGTGAATAATGTTGCTAGGAACAGGGGTGTAAAAATACCTCTGAGGCCTTGCTTTCAGTTCTTTTGGGCATATACTCAGAAGCAGAATTTCTGGGTTATATGCTAATTCTATCTTTTCAACTCTTTGGGGGAACGGCCATACCGTTTTCCATACCACCTGCACCATTTTATAGTCCCACCAACACTGTACAAGGAAGGGCTCCAGTGTCTCCACATCCTCATCAACACCGGTTATTTTCTGCTTTTTTCATAGTAGCCATCCCGATGGGTGTGAAGTGGTGTCTCATTGTGCTTCTGTGTTTATTTTTAAATATGAGTTTAATTCTGAGTTATCCACAGAACGGTATGCCGTTCGCCAAAACGCTGAGCTGATTGGGTTTTCTGAAGATGCCAGTCAGAAAAATATATCCCCCTTCGTACATTTTCTGTTTTGTGATTGATGCCCACATTTATTCATGAAACACAAGGACATTTATTTGTGTTGTTTTTTGTTTTTTTTTATTGTATGCTTGATGTATTTAGAGACAATTCCAAGGGCAAGCACTGGATAGGGAAGTTATCTGGTTCATAGATATTTGTACAAAAGGCTGTTAAGACTACACGGTCAGTTCCCACTGCAGGAAACAGAAAGATTTTCGTTTTTATTATTCCCTGCCCGTAGCATTTTCCAGCTCACACATTTAACTTCTCACAACATGACTGCAAACACGTACATACTCATTCCCATGAGAAATCTGCATGTGCCATTTCGGAATGTCTGAAGTCAGCCGGATCAGGCACGTTTGCCACAAGCCGTGGGCGGGGAGCTGGGACTTGGGACTGTGCAGAATGAAAGGTCACAGCCACAGGGAGGCACAGGGTGGTGCTGGGACAACACGTGCATGTGACCCGCCACACAAGAATGGCCCAGGCTCCCCTCCCTCCTCCTTCCATGTGCTTCCTTCCTAAAGCTGAGAGCTCAGCTGAACACCTCCCCTACAAATGACTTAACTGTTCTTTAGGCAAGAATGCAGTTCGTGGTTCCCTAGCAGACACATTGGTCCCACCTGGCTTCCCTGCTGGGCCAGCCAGAGCGGTGTAACACCTGCACTAAGGTGGGACGATGTAAGTTAGTGAGCAAAGTGGTTTGGCCTGGTTGGTAATTATTTTTTATACCTAACCATTCACCCAGTAGTGAAGGAACTTCACTGCTAATATCTAATAGGCATACACCTGCTCTGTTAGCTTGTAAGAAAGACGCTTCCGAATAATAACACTGGGTCTTATGTTACTGGGCACTAAAGAATCACCATAATTTCAAGTATATCCTTATTCTACCTAGAATTCTACCTAGAATTCCAAACCAACCTCCAAGAATGAAGAGCACTACTCTGCTTTGCTAATTTACTTTTATTGCAGCCTCTTTCACCTTTAGGGGATGAGGGCTGTCTTCATCTATGGTAAATCCCATCTACTAGACAAGACTAAGTAGCTTATGTTTGGTTATGGGGCATGGAAATAGGGGAGAAATTCTATCCTGGCCATGTCTTCTTTCTGCACAAAGCATGCACAGCTCCCCCATCCAAGTCTTAATGGATATTCCAATGGTATTTCGGGAAGCTTATTTACACACTGACCTTTAAACATTGCTTTCATAGTTCATCTTGAATATTCATTTCCCCACACTGTCTTTAGAAAAGCAATCCCTGGTAAAGAAATCATCCACGTAATGATAAGCATTTTTCAAAAGCAGAGTCTGTTAGGAGCATTTAAAAAGAAACATCTCGCCAACAGCCTGCTCAAAATCCAACAACATATTTTAAGCAGTTGACAACAGTAGATAAAAGTCACTAGAAGTGAGTCCAGCCGCATCAGCAGGTTCCTTACTCTCTTCTTGTCTTTCCCTACAACCCCCAAGGCACAAAGAATTCGTCCACTGCTATTATTGGGGGTTTGACTGTACACAGACCCCGTCCGAGCCGGATGGAAGCATCCCAGCCCCATTTAACTTCTGCCAGGCTGTGCCACGGAGGGCTGCCACGCCCCCTGGTGGTAAGACAGGGGCATCACAATTGTGACGTACAGTGTTAGCTAAGACAATTCTCATTTAGGGTTGACCCTTCTTTGAGATGCTGGACAAATGTCCCCTAACGGAAGCAGCCATTGTATTTCCCACTTCACAGTGGCTAGGGAACGGCGTAGGCTGGATGGGTGATCCATGACCTTTGTTTGGCCCATAACAATGAAAGCAGGCCTCTGTGTAATTTAGTCTCACTAGACTTCTTTTGGTAAAACCCCGAATCACCTTGGTACCTCAGACGTGTCCAGTCTGATGAAATGTTTCTGTAACAGGTGGAGGTGAAGCCACGTGGTGAGATTTTAGGGTGGCTTTCCACATCACCTTGTCTTAAATAACCACTGAGCAGGTGGACTGAGGAGCGGCGAAGTACCTGTGTTACGAACCCCCCGAGCTTAGCATCTGTAAACTGATGCTCTGGGGATGGCCGCTCCCTCTAAGAGGAGAGCCTGTGTTCATCAACAGGGAAAGCCCTGGATGAGACTCAGCAACTACAGGTCACCACCAACGGCTGTGGTAACTCTGTCGGCCCAAACGTCCTTCCCATCCGCTAGCGCTCACCGTCTATGCTTTCACAGACAGAATTCGCAAAGCTGCTGGCCCAAAAGCTCGTGGCGCTCTGATACCCACACCCTTAAAGGGAGGTCGGTAGAGCAAGATGTGTTCGGATAAGCCCCGTGGCCCTCCGTGCCCACATCCGTGTGTGAGACCCCGTCCCTTCCGGCCCGCCTGGCCTGTCGCGCACCGCTCTCGGCGCAGAGTCACTGACCCTAGGTCACTTCAGAGATGACTGACGCTCACAATCTTTCCACTTGCAAATTCCTACCAGTGACGAAGCATGATTGGGCCCAACTGGGTACGGGTGAGGCCGGAGTAAGGAAAGGGCCGTCCTTCCACCAGCGGCCACACCTGCTTACGCGTCTATTCATCATCTCCGCCCCCGGAGCATTTCACAGTGCTTGAGAGTTTCCATGGCTGGGGCGAAGCCCCCCTACACCTGCCCCCTGCAGCTACCTTCATTCCAAGAGCAGCTACTGGGAATAAAGGGAAGGGCGGGGAGAGCCAGCTGCATCCTACGCAGCTTTGTGGGATTGAGCAAGCTGGGCAGGAAGGCTGGGGTTGGATCGCCACCCTGCAGCGAAATGCTTCTGCATCCATCTGTCACCTCCTTGCCCTCTGTCTTCCCAATGCTGAGCCCATCTGGCCCTCACACGCCCGTCTATGCTCTGGTGGTAAGTCAAATCCTCCGTGTGAACACGACGTTGGAAACAAATCAGTTTAATTAAAGTCTCTGCTGAGATCATGTAGTCGCTGCTCAGATTCCAGCTACTTTAACTGAAATCTAAACAGTCAGGAGTTTCTCCTTTTCTTTCCCTCGCTAGCTGGGGAAATTCGCAGCCCCGTGGGGTGGAACTGTGCCACGGAGCCATTTAATTCATCCTAACGTAGATGGTCATCACCAAGCCCGAAATCGTTTCTACATGAAGCCACATCCAAGGGGGGGGGCGTGTGCAGGGAGAGCCGCAGGCCTCTGGGGAGGGCCGCGCGGTGAATCAGGGAGGCCCCGGTGTGGCTGCCTCCGAGTCTCTACCGTGGGCGCCTCCAGCTGACTCCCCTAACCAGCTCTCCTGCACAGGGGCCGTCTGTGGGTCCCCCGCACACGAGGAGCAGTGTAGAGAAGACAGGCTCTTTGGGATCACGGGGATCAGGATGAGCTGGGACCACAGAGGGGCCCCCTTTGTTCCTCCCCATTGGCTGTGTCCCTCAGCAGACACATCTGGAGAACTCTGCATGACAGGCATGCACCCATGTGAAGGGAGGCCTGGAAGCTTCTCCCTCAAGTACACACACGAGAGCCCTGGCCCTTTGGTTAACCCGGAAGAAACCAGTACTGAAAGAAAGAATAAGACCAAAAGATTTTGCTTTTCCTGCACACTTAGCACTGTGGAGCCCCCTTCCAAGGCCTGATGAACCCTTGTCCTCCGTGAGAAGGCTAATGTGTCCACGGTCACTGAGATGCAATGAGAGCAGCTGAAAATCCACAATTAGTCATACAATCGAACGACAGGCAAATGGAGACGCGTTACATTGCAAAAGAAGGGAAGCTACGTGGCAGGAGAAGGGGTTGTTGTTGAGCTTCAAGGCAGAACACAAGAGTGTGACTTTAACACATCTGAACTTTCTCATTTTACTCACACAGGAGAGTGGCTTGTTTTGCTGGTAATTTAGTAAGGTGGGAACGTTTAAATAAGAAGGGGAAAGGGAATGCTTACTTCACTTAAAGAACTTAATCTCCGTGTCAACACAGTCATAGAAAAGATCCCCCACTTCGGTGGGGTCCAGGGGGTCAGAGCTGGTCAGGATTTCTTCCATGGCCTCCAGGCCTTGCTTCTCTAGTTCCAGCATGGTCTTTCTCAGCTGGCGACCTTGCTCCTGAGGAAGGACGGAAACAGCGCGGGTCACTACAGTGGACAAGAAAGCCTCCCAGGGGCCCACCCACCCCATTCAATCTCTTTCCCCACAACTGCTACAGGGATCATTCTAGAATGCCAGGGTGGTTATGGTACTCCTCTGCTTGGCGTCCTTAGGTCCTCACTGCCTTCAGGATAAAGTCCGGACTCCTGAGACACACTCAGGAAAGGCCTTGTGTAACATACGAGGCTCTTGCTTGCTTCACCCCCTGCCATGGCCCCCACATCTCCTTTCCCTTCAGCCAGACTGAATTAACTGCATTCTTCCAACCCACGATACTGCGCCCTGCTCTTCCTCGGCACTTGTCAACTTGTACCCATCTCCAGGCTTCTCTGAACCTTTCCTCTGGGCTCCCTGTCGATGCCTTTACTTCGGCCATGGCTGTTCTTTTTCTGCCTTATGCAGGTCTGTCGACTTGCCTGCGTCCGCCATTAGACCATGATCTCCTGAGAGAACTGAGCTCATCACTATGCTCCAATGCCTGGGTCACAGCAGACATTCCCAATAAGTGTTTGTGGAATGAATAAATGGATCAGCCAATAAACACGAGCCACACCCATCCCTCAACTCACTCTCGTTCTGAGGTGGGGAGCTTTCTTCCACTCACACACGGTGGATGACCGTGAAAAGCGTTCATCCACCCAGTTCGTCCCAGAATGGAGAAGCTTCTGTCACCACACGCACCACTTCCTAACACGGCTTTGACTTGAACCAACGGTCATTTCTCAATGTCAAAGCCCACCCAACCTCATCAGTCTCATCTCTTTGACATATTGTGTAGAATAGTTCAAGCACACGGGCCTTTCTCCCTCTGCCTTCTAGTTGCCAAACAGCCATAAAACCATGCACCAAGGGGCATTTTTCTTTCTTTTTTTTTTTTTTAAAGATTTTATCCATCTTTTAGAGAGCGAGCGAGCGAGAGAAACAGCATGAGAGGGGAGAGAGTCAGAGGGAGAAGCAGGCTCCCCGCTGAGCGGGGAGCCCGATGTGGGACTCGATCCCAGGACCCCAGGACCACGACCCGAGCCGAAGGCAGAAGGGGCATTTTTCTTTGGGGCTTGCTGTCCTCCGCCTAGAAAACATGCACAGTCGGGAAGCGAGGTGGACCGCCCCGAGCAAAACCCAGTGCAGCGTGGTGGCTGCGCTCACACTTCCCGGGAAACGTTCGGCAGGCAAGGTGGACGCGAAAACACCGTGACTTTGAAACGTCCCGACGGTCGTTTCTGTGGCACGGAAAAGCAAATTCTAGGAGTAGCGAGGCCACCTTCTCTGAGATTCTTTCTGAATTCCCCTGGATTTGCTGTTGATGTTGCCCTTCTTTCTGTGCTTTTTAGAGTCCACCATGCTAAGCAGGAGAAAAGAAGCTCACCCAGTCCACACAAATGCAGGCACCAATTTCTCTACAAGGTGTCCCTTTCTTCAGGACAAACGGGACCTGTTTCAAGTTGTTAAATACATGCGTGGGAGGCAGATGGGCATTTAACCGTGCTCTTCAGCAAAACAGAGGCTTGGGTTTTATAGGTGACCCATCACTAATGGCTGCTGTGGGCAGAGACAGGGCGTGTGTCTTGTTTGAACTGAGGTCTTATAACTTCATTTACCAAAGCTTGGGCAAGGGTGGGGTGGGGTGGGGAGTTGCACACTGAAGAATAACTTTTTTAAAAAACTGGAAATTTGAGAATCTTTTTTTAAAACTTTTTTAAATTATAGGGGCGCCTGGGTGGCTCAGTTGGTTAAGCGACTGCCTTCGGCTCAGGTCATGATTCTGGAGTCCCTGGATCGAGTCCCGCATCGGGCTCCCTCCTCGGCAGGGAGTCTGCTTCGTCCTCTGACCCTATCCCCTCTCATGTGTTCTCTCTCTCTCATTCTCTCTCTCTCAAATAAATAAAATAAAAAAAAAATCTTTAAAAAACTGGAAATTTGAGAATCTTTTTTTAAAACTTTTTAAAATTATAGTAAAATACACATAACATAAAATTTTCTGTTTTAGCCAGGCTTAAGTGTACAAGGTCAGTGGCATAAGGACATTCGCCTTGTTGAACACCCATCGCCACCATCCATCTCCAGAACTTTTTGAAAGGATTACTTTTTTTTTTAATAACATAGGATTGCACCTTTAAATAAAATTTTGCCAGCTTGTACAACTTTCTACCCCCAAAAGTATACAAAGATTTTTAGACAGCAGGAAAGAAGTTATCCCTACTAGAACGGCACATTTCTGTTATTCCCAGGTAAACAGTAAATGAAAGAGGGATATTTCGAGCCCACTGAGTTCTGGAACAACATCACAAGTGGAGGCTGTTTCATTTGGATTCTAGAGACTGGCTGGAAAAATTAACAGCAGCCTTCTAGGAAAGGCCTTGGGTATCTGGATTTCTGGAAGGAGGCAAGCTGGCGAGGAGGAAAATGATGAGCTCCATAACCGCTCCCCTGCCTCCCCTCTCGAGGCCTTGCCCCTCCCCACCCCACCCCACCCCTGCGGGCCCGTTGCCAAGCTCACCTGGTCGCTTTCAATGACAGCACGTGCCCACTCGTGGGCCTTGTACAGCTCATGCCGGCGGTCTGGCTTCTCCAGGAACCGAGGCTCCTTTTTGGCAGGGTCGTTGTCCCCAAAACAAGGAGACTGTGCTTTGGGGACAAGTTTTACATCATCAACAAAGATGAAAGGCTTGAATATGGACCTGGAGAGAAAGGAGGGGTGCTTCAGCTAAACTGAGCTTGAGGCTTGAGGACACCAGACTGTCCTTTCATTCAGCAAACACTGCCTGAGCCAGCTCATGGTGGGTGGTGGGTGGTGGGTGGTGGGTGGTGGGTGGGTGCCAAGACAGAGACACCACTTCATATTTTAGTAAATATTTTAGTAAAACTGTCATTTACCAGCTGCAAGTTCTTCTATTAACAGCAAGGAGACATCAAAACAGACTTGCTTTGTTCTGGGAAGACCATTTGAGAGGCCCCTTTCAGTTACGTAAAGTCAGGCAAACAGACACATAGTGTCCAGAGAAGAGGGTGCAGTGGGCCATCTATCGGCATTGAAAGAGGTCTGCCTTTCTCTACCACGGCTCGCTGGACAGTGGCCTCCTGGAATGGAACGCTCTGAGGCCCCATCTCTCTCTTTCTTTTTAGGTTCTACCTTTTTTGCAGATGCCACAAATGTTCCCAGAGTCCCCCGAGAGGACACACTGCAGAGAAACAGAAGCCCAGCTGTGTGAAAGAGGAGCTCTGGGCATAGGAGGTGACTAATGCAAGAACTCATTCAGCTCTCTGCCACGATGGTATACCTTCGGAAAAATGGCTGTGTGCGCACACACATCTGTGCATAGCTGGGCACATGTCCACACACACAAACACACACACACACACACACAGACCCCAACAGAGCCATGTTTCTAAAAAACGGCATCCGGGGATCCCAAGCCAACAGGGCACGCGGAGACCACAGCTGAGTGTAACATAAGGAGAGAGCCTCCTCCTCTCTGCACCCAGAGCAAACAGTGCCGGATGAAAGCAGCGCTCCCGGGCCCTGAGGGTGGGCCACGTCCGTTCAGCCGCACCGTGGGGCGGCGCCGCGATAACAAGAGGAGGGAGAAGACCCCACGCAGACTCCCATGGGTACTGCTGGGATTGGGGCTCTTTTCTCCCCCCTTAGCGGGCGCGCCTCGGCCACTCAGGTGGGATGCTGACCCCCGGGCCTGAGGGGGCTGGGCTGAGGGGACCACAGCAGCCGTGCCGTTGTGTGCCACACAAACACTTCCAGGTGCGCCGTGATCTGCAAGGAGCCAGGAACCGATGACCCGCACTACCCACACTGTGTCGTCGGACGGGAGACATCAGCATCGCCCTCGGGCCCCATCCCCATCCTGCCGAATCAGAATCTGCATGTGAACAAGGTCCCCCGGGGACTCCTGACACCCCAAGTCTAAGGAGCACAGCTGGGTTTCCCCAGCTATCCGAAGGCAGAGTGTTCCTGAAGGTAGAACATTCCTCGGAAACCTCTCATAAGCCAAAGTGGTGTAAGGCAAAGAAGCAATTACCATTTCCTAAAAGCAAAAATCCTCTTGGGATTTCTTGTGGTTAGTGAAAACAGGTACCGTACTAAGTCCCTCTCTCCTAAAAGCGAAGTGGGGTAAAGCAAACTTACGGATAGTGGGGGAAACCTGTAAGGAGAAGTGACCTCTTCGATTGGTTCCCTGAGGTTATCAAGGGAAGGAGGGCTCAGGAGAGGAAGGAAGAGCCTGAAGTCACTCTGTCAGACTGGGCTCCGGCTAAGGTAATGTGAATATTAAAAGCAGTGAGACCTTCATGCCTCCCGCTGGTAAAGTGGATGGCACTGATGAGGGATAGGTGCCAGGTACCCGGCTCTCGCAGGGGATGCGGACACTCACAGGAGACTAGACCCATCTCCTGGGAAGCACACAGCACGCCAGCTATTTCCACCAGGCCAAGGCCGCCCAAGGACCCGCCCCGCCCAGGATGGAGTGGGGCTACCCCGCACAGAGGGATCACAAACTGCCAATGGCCACCTCCTACAGTCTCTTGAACATACATCGGTCCTTTTCCCTTCTACTCAGTGTTGCATGGATGACCCTGAAGGTGAAAGCAATCGATGCAAAGCTTTAAAGGGTCTAAAGCAATTCTGATTATATAACGTTGAATTATCCAATGAGTCACGCGGTTGATTCTGCAGAAGGGCTGCTATGTGAGGGGGTCACTGGAAAAGGGTAACGGAAGGGGGAGAAGGAAACAGGAGGGAAATGGCAGGAGGAAGGAGAGTCCCGCACAGAGCCATCCAGAACTAACTGCCTCTGGGTCCTTCTGGTCTCTGACCTCACAGCAGACAAGCACCCCACCCTTCAGGGCTAACAGCACGCGGGGCTCTTGAAAAGTCCGTGTGCATCATACCGTCCACCAGCTGACATTCATCTGCAGCCTCCCCGGCCAACGCAGAGACCCTTCTGTGGGAGACGGGGCCGGGCACAGCCCGGAGCCTGTGCAGTGCACATCTCAGCTGCAGGGCCTGGGCTGGCCAGAAAGGGCCAGAGCCATGACTTCCATGGGCTAACACTGAGCGATGGGGCTGGCACAGGCTCGACCTCTGGCAGGGCTTTACTTGACCATGCCTCTCAGGGCCACTCTGGCATAGTGGCCCCGTGGGCGAGCACCATGGCTCTGGGTACCCCGAGGGGCACAGTCTGGGAGATCCCAGATCTGCCTGACTCATGACAGTGAGGCCCACTGGGACTGAGGATGGGCTGGGCTCAGGATGAGGGTGGGCGTCCCCTCTCTACTCTGACCAAACATGGGGACACTTGTGTTCCCTCTCTGTCCCTCATGACTAAAATGATCTCTAAGGTCCCTTCCAGCTTCTAAACCTGTTATTTAATTTCTCTTTGTATGTTGTGCAGCCCATGAACTTGTGAGTCTGACTTCAAGAAGTTCATGGTAAGCACAGTCGTGGTCTTCCACATCCAATATCCAAGATAATAGTGTAGTAGAAGTCAGAATACTCCATGTAACTTCAAACCCATTCCACACCCGCTGGAATGTGGAGGTTAGTTTAACATCATCAGTAAGGGTGTCTGGTGGCTTTCTTAAGACAAGAGGCGCCATATGTGTATCCTTCCCATCTATCGGTTTTCTTTTTTAAAATAAGTAGTAAATATGAGGAGGTTCCCATAATACTCTAAAGCAGCCAAAGCTCTCCACGGATTTTTTTTCCCAAAGTCTGTGAGGAAGCTGGCATCCTCAACTGCTAAAAACATGAGGCATAGATTTGTCAAGTGGTTAAAGGGAGATATTTTGAGATTGAATAAAAATTACTGCTCATGTCAAACTGCAATGATACTAATATTTATTTAAGTCAGAATGTGGGAATTATAACTCAGTCTTGATTATTTGTGCCTACGTATCCAAAAAAAGCAGAATGTGGATAACTCAGTGGTCCCCAAACCTTCTGATTTCTTGCCAAGCCTTACAGAAAATCACACTAAACTTCCAACTAGGTGAGGAGAATCTCTGCCATTTTCCCACACTTAAAGCTCAAAGGGTAGCTTCTTAAATGCCCCTTGATCAAATGTATGTTCACTAATGGCCCAGAAAGTAAATGACGTGACCAAGGTCACATGTCCAGCCAGTGGCAAAGCTGAAACTGCCACCGGGGTCATGAGGCACCACCCCTCCCAGGCCACCTGGACAGGGCAGGGCACACTTCGTCATACTGTGGAGCTCTGCCAGGCTGTCCCAGGGATGGCTCTGAGGCAGGACACAGCTGAGGGGGCTCCAGAAAGCCAGTTCTGCTCTGTCCTCGGTTTCGGAGAAGCCACCTACCCCGGAATTCGCTCCGGTCACTCAGCCCCTCCACAGTGTACTGTGACAGGAACACAAGATAATTGGCCCAGAAGGGGGGAGCCGCTTCCAGTGGCAAAGGGCAGCCCCGCAGCCTGGTTAATGAGGAGGTTTATAGCTGGCTAAGCTGCTCTGAAGGGACAATCCAGCCTCATGAGGGACAATTAAACAAAGGAAGCCATGAGCAACACAAAAGAAACCACATGACCACAGCCGTCAGCTCTCCCTGAGACAAATCTCAGGTCTAAGATGCAGTCTGATGACAGGAAACACAGCAGGGGCTTCCATGGTCTGGCTCAGAGGTCTGCAGAATGTTAGCCTTGGGTGACACTTGGAGCCAAAGCCAAGAAACACGCTCCCCTAGAGGCATCTTTGCCTTATCCGTCCTTTCTGTCTTCCAAAACCTCATGATAGATGCACTGAGCCAGTGTTAAAAAAAAAAAAAAAAATCTGTTTCCCTTTCAAAACACGATTACCATGAAAACCCCTACCATTTTATAGTGTATCATAATTTTCAAAGTGCTTGCATTCACTTCTCCTGGTACTCCTATTTATCCATTCATTTACCAGTAAATATGTGTTGAGTGATGACTGAGTAGCAGACACCTGCCCTGGGTGCTAAGGATACAGCAATGAACAAGGCCGGGCAAGAATTCCCATCCCATTTTACAGATGAGAAGACTAAGGCTCACAGCAGCTAAGTGCTTGGTGCACAGGCACGTTCCCAGTCAGTGGCAGATGGAGAACTACATTCAGATGTCCAAAGCTGAGGTCAGTTTTTCCCCACTACTTCTCACCATTATATATCCTTCTGTTGGGTTTTTATACACATTGTGCAGAAAAACAGAATAGTTTCTGTGCTTTGGGGTTTGGAATTTTTATTATCAGCGGCCAGCCAGCACTTCTGACCTCAAACATGGCTCTTTCTCACCGAAGGTGCAGACAGTCCCGTGGCGACTAAGCCAGGCTTATGCGGCGCCCTGGAGTCCCCGGCAGAGCCGCGGAGGGGAGTCAGGCACACGGCGGGGAGAAGCACAGGCTCCCGCTCAGATGAATCTGCTAAACTTTCAACCAAGCTCAGGAGAACCCAGAAGAGCCAGTTTTCTCTCAATTGCAGGTGTCCCTGTGCATGGGTCATTCTGGCTCTTCACTGCGAGTCACTGTAGTTACACAGTCACAACCACACCTGGCTGAGAGCAGGACCTACCAGTGAAGAGCCTTTCTGTTGAGAGGAAGAGCGAACTAGTACTTTCGGAGCATGACAAGCTTAGGGCTGGATCCAGATACTCTGGAAGGTTTTGAAGTCAAAATTGTAGGGTGGGAGAGAGACGGTGCTGGATGGATCTGGGATGAAACTGCGGGGGGTGGGGGGGTGGCTATTTTACACGGGGGCCTCAGCTCTGTGGCCGTCTGAGCCCTGCATGGCACCAGAGCTGTATTTACATAGGCTATGGAGGGTGTTCACCAACAAAGAGGTGCCACTGGTCGCTACATTTGAATTAACCAGATGAGACAGTCTCAGTTAATCCAATTTAGCCTCTCAAGCTTAGTACACCGGGAGAAGAGGAGGAAACGCATGTGCACGCACACGTGTGCACATACTCCAGGTCCCTTGCATCTCCCCTGCTCTTTGCCACTAGTTAAAGAAGGCCAAACACCGTATTTTCCTAGAACTTTCTATTTTCTATTTCCTAGGCTTAAGTACACAGCCTAAAACAATGAGAGAAATGGGTTAGGAAATAGCCTTCTAATATTTAAAATGGAAAATTTTTAAATTTTCTCCCCCTCCTGGTTGATCCATCCAGTACGTTGAGTATTTGTGGGCTTTCTCAGAGCTGGGGGCCTCTGGGTGATGTGCCGGTCGGACAACTGTATCTGAAGCAAATAAGCCCTGACCCACGATGTCTGCCAGTTTCTGTGGTGTAACCCATGGCAAGTTCCCAGTGTGATGTCACTGAACACAGGGGTTGGCAAGAGAGGCACATAATCAGCTCTCGCTGGCTCCAGCACCCTGCGGGACTCCGAATGTCACGGTCTCAAAGTGCTAAGGGGCCTCTCTACTCTTTCCCCTTCCAATTCTTCATGTCGCTGAAACTTTGGCAAGTGCCGGCTTCCACCAAGGAAATGGCTTACAAAGGTCAGAACCAGAGTGCTAACGCCAGTCGGTGTCACAACGTGGGTGACAGAGGCACCGGCTGACTCAGCAGAACATCAGTGTTACAGAATCTGCCTTCTCAGTAAAATTAACGAAAGGTCTTTTGCATCTCCCTGTATCTCTCAATCTCTGACTTCTGCATCTCCATCCAGCTCTCAAACTTGCACAGTACCTGGTGCATACTGGGAAGGAAGGAGAAAGAGAAAAAGAGAATGCGAGAACAAATTATTTCAAGAGAAGGATCTGTAATGAATGCAGTGAGCAAAGGGCAGAGACATGCTGAAGCAGACAGAGTAGTCAGATCATATCCTTTGGTTCCAAACATGAATTGGGAGGGATAAAGAACACAGTCTTGCTCTAGGATCATAATCTTCTGCAAGCCCCCTGCTCTGAAATGATTTCCTGAAATCATCTCTCTAATGTTTTTAGCGTCAGCAGAAGCCAGCTAAAATTTCCCCGGTTTACCACTTAAAAACCCAAGAGTAGGTAATTATGTTTCCTGCTGACAAAATACAAAATGTTAAACATGCCCAATTAGAGAGACACATGGAAATGTTCAATATGTGACAGTTCTCATGGTCACAGTAAGAAATGCCGCTCACTTAGCCCTGGAAGATAGAAATGAATGTCTTCCGGAAAGCCCTTAATCTTCTTTAAGGTCTTTTCAATTAATTTAACCATGAATAATTTTCTTTTAAAAATCACTTGACATTTTCCATATGCAACAGAAGGCTATTTCCCAGCCCAAGTTTAGAACTGTACGAGACCATGTACTTCAGTCTAGGAAATGGCATTCCTTATATCAGTGCCCTGGCCTCACAGAGCCCCGTCTTCTAAGCACAGTTGGAGCAGGTGCCTGAGACATCAGAAGCAAAAGGGGTGGTACAGGCCTTCTTTGGTGCAACCCACTCCCTCAAAGGCACCTGGTCCCCAATGAACATGTCCAAAGACATTGGCAGAGCATTCCCGTCACTTTAAAGTAGGGCTCTAAGTGCCCACATGTACCCCTGTGAGCCAGCAGAGTGTTCTCAAGACGCGGCTGATCCACCAGCGATGGGAGCATGCTGAGTCAGAGTCCACGAGGGCAAGCCCAGACGACAGGGGAGGACGAACCCCAGAGCTGGTGGACCACAAAGGGGGCGAGAGCGGGGCCATCCATGAGACCAAGCATCGAGCACTGGGAGATAAGATCAAGAGGAGGCAGCTGGGATCAAACAGGAGCACATCCTGGGAGGCTGGCTGGAACACCAGGAGCTGAGGCCAGCAGAGGGGCCATGCAAGGGTGGCTGGGCTCGTTTACTGGAGGAGTGGGGGGTGGAGGAGAGACGGAAACCTAATCTACAATAGGACACTGCTTCAGGGCTCTCTGCATTTGCGCATGTTCCCTCTACCAAAATGTCATTCCTGCTTTTTGTACCCAACAGACTCTTCCTCTTTCCAGAATGCCTGGCACTCAAGGGATCCTTCCTCCGTGAAGCTTGCTCCTTCATCATCTCCTCCAAGCCACCTGTTACCTTGTACATACTTCATCCCTAGTACCCAACAAGCATGATATTTGGTATATAGTAGGTGCCTAATAAGTTCTGTTGAATGAATAGATGAATGAAGGAAAAACTAATAGCTTATACTGAATTTAATAGTCAGGTCCTGCTGAAATTGATATTGGCAGTAGTTTATTTTTATTTTTTTTTAAAGATTTTTATTTATTTATTGAGAGAGAGAGAGAATGATAGAGAGAGAGCATGAGAGGCTGGAGGGTCAGAGGGAGAAGCAGACTCACTGCCGAGCAGGGAGCCTGATGCAGGACTCGATCCTGGGACTCCAGGATCATGACCTGAGCCAAAGGCAGTTGCTTAACCAACTGAGCCACCCAGGCGCCCGATATTGGCAGTAGTTTAAAGGTAAGGCTGAGAGGCGCCTGGGTGGCTCAGTCAGTTAAGTGTCTGACTCTTGATTTCAGCTCAGGTCATGACCTCAAGGTTGTGAGACAATGCTCCGCGTTGGGCTCTCTGCTGGGTATGGAGCCTGCCTAAGATTCTCTCTCTCCCCCTCTCCTGCTGCCCCTCCTCCCCACCCTACTTGCACACACGCTCTCTCTCGCTCTCTCTCTAAACATAAAAAAAGAAAAAAAAGAAAAGAAAAAGTAAGGCCAAAAGGTCAAGAGAGGTACTGGGCTTTCCCCTGAGTCATCTAAGAAACAGTCCCTAGCTAGACACCATCACTGTCTTATATTCCTGGAACAATAAGAGAAGAATAAATACGTTCGGCTGGAAGGAATGAAATTGAACAGCTACAGACTTCCTGGTAGCAGTCAAAGATTTGACACCCAATATCCAAACAGTGATAATGGTTTTCAGCCAATGGAACCCCTAAAAATTACCAGGGAAACTACTGGAATAGAAAGTCTTCTAGAGTTTTCCAGGCTGAGGATCAGTCTTAGTTGACAGATTCCTGAGCCCACCTTAAAGATTCTGACACAATAGGTTTGGGTCAAGGCACCTGTACTTTTCAAAAACTCCCCCAAGTGATTCTGATAATGAACAGAATCAGAAACCATTGGATGGTTGTGTCTAAGCCACTGACGATGTGACTTGTGGTATACGGGACTGAACACTACCAGGGAGAGGGACTGCTGTCTGCCTGGCAAATCAGAGATAGTCTTAATAAAGAGAAGTTAAACCTACTGTGTATTTACTTGGATTATCTCATTTAATCCTCCCAACAAGCATACAAAGTAGGAGCCAGTGATAACCTCATTGCACAGTCCAGACACTCAAGCTTACAGAGGTTAAGTAACTTACCAGCCACTAAGTGAGACACATGGAATTCAAAATCCTGGCAATTTATTCTAGAGGCTGTGTTCTTAAACACTGAACAATACAACCCCTTTGCTGAAGTATGTGGGCAGAAAGCAACCCCCTGAAACACAACGTCTTAAGGAAGCGGCCAATGCACTTGACATTGCTTCCATCTGCACGGCCTCTGGACCATTTTGTCCTCTAATTTATAGGAACTGACTGCTTTGATAAATCTTGGGCATTTCTGCATCTGTCTCACTGTGTGGTTATTTGTGTTTGCATCCCTCAAATATAGCACAACACCTGGCCCATGATATCAACTCAATACATATTTGCTGAATTTAAAACAATTTGATTCCATGAATGTCATAAAAATGATGTGACTAAGGGCACTTGGGTGGCTCAGTCAGTTAAGCGTCTGACTCTTGATCTCAGTGCGCGCGGATCTTGATCTCAAGGGGCATGAGTTTGAGCCCCGTGCTGGGCTCTATGCTGGGAAGGGAGCCTACTTAAAAAAAAAAAAAAAAATTGATGTGACTAAAGCCAAGAGCTTCCCTTAGTCAAAGTTCTTTGTGCTCATCGGCCACACTGACCACAACTGAACAATGTGACTTAGCTACAGAAGGGGACATACAGTAACATAGTATATACTTATTGGATGAGCTTTCAGGGGAAGCACATACTTTCTGCCAGCACAGCTGTGTCTCAGACAAACCTGGAAGGATCTGGGGTCCCAGTGAAGTAGTGAATGCATGGCGAGCTTCTGTTCTGAGGCAGAACAGACACTACGCTGGCTGTGGTAAGGAAAGACTCGGAGTCTACACAGACTCCACTGGCTTTGTCCCGCAAGATGTCGATCATAGTCTGCACAGTGATGCTTTCTGTAAAGAAAAAATAAAAAAGACAGAAAGAGAGAAGCTATAACAGTGGCAGGTTGTTAACCAAAATCCATTCATTCCTTTTCCATTTTAGTAACAGAACCCTTGAATGGATAGCTGGGAACATTAACTGCCCAGCTACAGACTACATTTCCCAGCTTCCCTTGCGGCTACGTGTGGCCACATGACAAATCTTGACCAATGGGAGATGAAATGATATGTGCAACTTTCTCGTCACCCCCATAAAAAGGACAGTTTGCCCTTCACCTTTCCCTTCCTCTTGCTGCTGCCGAGGACATGCCTGCAAGTGGACCACAGAGGGAAATTCTGTGTTCAAGCAGAATAACCCACCAGCCCTGGACTATCCATATACATCTAGACTGTAACATGGGAGAAAAATAAGCTTCCATTGTCTTTAAGCCATATTATTTTGGAGTGTCTTTGTTGGAGCACTTAGCAATTCCTCAACAAAGGCAGTACGCAATAGAATGATATCCATAGGAAAGTACATGCAATCTATGCACACCACTAAGCAAGCTCTCTTGTACACTCTTGCTGGTTAGAGTTAATACGATATTTGGAGAATGGCCTCTGCAATGGCAGAGATTCACACAGAGAAGTATTTAGAATATTCAGAGCCATTATGACTATTGGCTCTGACTTCAATTAAACGTGTCAACAATTCCTTAACTACACAGGACCCCAGCTTTACATTTTCTCTCTCTGATTATAATTCATTAAAACACTATTCTTACGGTCTGTGTTCAGAAAGATGGAATCAAAGCATCACATAGGGAAAAGGTGTCTTAAACTTCACTAACACAACTCAAATCCTTTTTGTAAGTTTCTATTTATAATATGTCATACCTAAAAATATTAGCTATAAAAGCCTTGATTTCTTCAACTACCTAGTGTTCAAATGTTCTCATTGTCTCATAAATGAGTTTATTGATTTAAATCAGGATCCAATAGGTTAATAATGTCTCAAATCTCCCCTAATCTCTGCCTCTCGCTTTACTTCCTTGCATTTTATTTGTTGGGCCGTTTCTCCTATAGAATTTCCCACAGTCTGAACTTTGCAGATGGCACTCCCTGGTGTTTCATTTAATGTTCCCCCATCCTCTGTATTTCCTGTAAACTAGTAGCTAGATCCAGAGGCTTCATCAGATTTAGGTTTGATGTTTTGGTGGGACTATGTCACATCTGGTATTATATACTTTTATCAAGCTAGTTTTCTTTTTAACTCTTAGGGTTTTTTTTTTTCAGCTCTCATTTTAAAATGGATACTTTCTTACCTTCCTACCCTGAATCCATTAATTAAGCTCCAGGGCAAAAGTCCTTGAAGTGTTCTTCTGTATTAAGTGTCAGCAAACTTTTTCTTAAAGAACCAGATAGTAAATATTTCAGGCTTAGGGGCCACACCATCCCTGTTGTAACTCACTGTGAAACTGTGCTCCTATAACATGGAAACACCCATAGACAATTCCTAAATAAGTGTGTATGGCTGTGTTCCAATAAAATTCTGGCTGCCAACGGGTCATAGTCTGCCAACCCCCGTTCTGAATGATTACAGGTTTAACTTACAAAAGACAAAACACAAATATCACTGGCAAATATAACATGTGGCCACAGTGGCTTCTTTGGAAGGGTTTCCACTCAGACACCAAAGTAACAAGCTATCCAGTCACCACATTTACCTCAATTTGGATTCTGATTGAGTCAATAACTGGAGGGAAGACAGAGGGTTTGGGAAGAGAATTCAGGTCAACAGTTCAACTCAATACATGTTCACGGAGCAAAAGACTATATAATGGGCACCACAAGGGGATCCCACGATGAATAAAGGACAGCGCCCCACCCTCAAGGCCCAGCAAGCTAATGAGAGAGGTAAACACAGAAGACAATAAGTCAAATATACAAAGGCTGAGGTAGAAGGAAGCCTGCAATAAGTATCATAAAGACACCGATGTTTAAAGGCAAAATAATGTCAGAAGGAGAAGAACCTTCAATGGATAAGGAAGCGTCCTACAACAAGAGATACATGTCGTCACCCTGCCAGCTCCTCAGGGGCGTCAACACAGGTTGGTCTCTATGTACAGGGTCTATTGTCATCTCCTCCTCTTTGCTCACCCTCCTAAGATCAGACAAGTTCTCTGAAATAGCTACAAGACAACAGGTATGAGAGGGAGAATCATAAGGGATATGCAAACTCACCTTCTTTCTTGTCTATGCTGTCTTTGCCTGCACAGTGGTCTAGATGGTCATCAGCTGAAGAAAAAACTTGAGAAAAATTGAACTCATCCTCTCCCGTCCACCAGCCTTGACTCTGAGCATAACTCCTGAGTTCAGGGTGCTCTGCATCGATCTTAGTGGTGAGTGAAAGCTGATTGCAAATGCACTTCACTCCCTCTGTAGAGAGTACAAAGCCCCGTTAGTTGGAAATGTGCTTAGAAAGACTTAGTCAAGAAATGGAAATTTACAGGGAATCCCTTCTCTGCAATTCAACTTTAACTACAGAGAGGAATCGATTCTATTTTTGAAGACAGAAACACACAATCCTTGGTCCTCTTTTAAGGAGACCTCCCAGAAGGTTTGACCAGTCCTGACAGGGCATTACCACATTTTAAATGAGCAATGGTCACTTGATCTACAATTCACATTCAAAAGGAAATATGTGAAGCCCTCATTATGGCTAAATAAGCCCCGAGCATTTATTACTTACAAGAGAAGCGAACGGTTTCTTGAAAGAGACATGGCACGACTAACAAGACTTATGAATGTCACAACTGTAGAGTTCTCCTCCCCAATTCAGCCTTCCTCCACTTGAAGGAACACTCTACACCACCACCCTCTGCCCAAATACATCATCTTTGGAAAATACAAATATGAATACTTCTTCATTCAGCTTTTTTTTTCGAGCCCCAACATTTAGAAAAACACAATGGCACTGAGAATGAGTGCTTCTAAAAGACTGGAATGCACCTGTCAATATATCAATATACATGTCTCTGAGTCTATCAGGGGTGTGTGTGTGTGTGTGTGTGTGTGTGTGTATGTGTCCATGTATATAAGCATGGAAACTCTACGGGAATATTTTTCTCATAAAAATATAAGTATGACTAAAGAAGTCTAGAATCAGAAACACCTGCACTCAGAGCACACTGGGCTTGATGGAGGAGGGTGAGGCCAGAACTTCTTGCTCTGGCTCCTCCCAAGCCTCAGCCGCAAATACCCTGAGGACGACTTGGCCTTCAAGCTCCCAGATGTTGTCTAGAACACTAAGAAGTTATGAGTTGTAGTTCAAAAAGGCCCTCCATATTTGCTGCTTCCAGGGAGCATGCTGATCTTCTAAATTCTTGGAGAATGAAGTGGAGAGCTCAAACCACAAGCTGCAATAAAGCCATTACTGCTGAAAACCAGTTCCTAGAGACAAGGCCAGTACTGGACTGAGTTCTTCCAGTATGTTCTACTTCACTGACTCATTCTTCCAAAACAAGTATTCCTAGCGGATGGGCATTGGCCCTCTGCCATTCATCTTCTCAGAGGACAACACAAGAAGAAAACTACTTTAAAAAATTAAAAATAGGGCGCCTAGGTGGCTCAGTTGGTTGGGCGACTGCCTTCGGCTCAGGTCGTGATCCTGGAGTCCCGGGATCGAGTCCCGCATCGGGCTCCCTGCTCAGCGGGGAGTCTGCTTCTCCCTCTGACCCTCCTCCCTCTCATGCTCTCTGTCTCTCATTCTCTCTGTCTCAAATAAATAAATAAAATCTTTAAAAAAAAAAAAAAGAGTATACTACTTTCTTTTCTTATCACAAAGACAAAATATTCTAGAGGCGGGGCACGTGGGAGGTTCAGTAGTTAAGCGTCTGCCTTCCGCTCAGGTCATGATCCTGGAGTCCCGGGATCGAGTCCCGCATCAGGCTCGGCGGGGAGTCTGCTTCTCCCTCTGACTTTCCCCCCTCTCATGCTCTCTCTCATTCTCTCTCTCGCAAATAAATAAAATCTTAAAAAAAAAATTAAAAATAAAAAGTAGCTTTGGCCTAAATAAGTGATTTTGGCATTCTTCACACGAAGCTATCAAAAAAGTCTTGTGAACAACTCCACAGACAATATTTTCCTCAAGGGCTGATTTATAGTAGACGTTTGCTTTCGGGCATGTGAGCACTCAGGGGCCAGACTCACGAAATCCTACTGCTATCACACTGCTGTGGGGGGCGAAGACATGAAATCAATGAGGCCGAGGAATGGCTGGGGTTTTATGTCAATAGTTGGTGAAAGACAACACGCATTTTGAGGAGATGGATTTTCTTAAGCTATATCTTGAAGGGAAGCTAAGCTTTTGAAAGGCAGGTATAGATCATAAAGTTTTAAGTTCTACTGAAAAGCAACCTATGACGGCCTTATCCGCATGGACCACTAGCCCTCTTGATGGAACCATTTGATAGTAAGGCTTCGTCCTAGGAGGACGTTTTTGGGAAAGGAGTTTGAAGCTCTTGCGCGGCAGGAGGCTTGGTGACCCGGCGGCCCACCCGGGCCCCAGCAGTCCTGAGGGCACACGTGGGTGGACGCTGGGCACGCGGCGGCGCAGAAACTCTCCACGATCGTTGCAAGGGCGCCCTTGTGAGAATGCGGAGAAGCTGCCCTCCTCCAGGCAAGCACCGCAAGCCAGCCTCGTTCGGGACCCAACATACCCGTCGTCTGCCGCAACCCTGATCACCGCACTGACTTAGGCCACAGAAAACAACGGGCTTGATTCTCAACTATTGCAGTAGATCTTCTGCTTCTACCTCAGGTGCGACTTGGTTCCAATCCCCCCTAAGGCAGAGATGGAAAACAGGTTTCATCCCTAGCATCGATTCTGAGCAACTGGAAGAGACTGCCTTGCAAATTCAGTCGAGAAAAATACAGAGGCCAAGTATAGGTCCCATACGGGAGAGTGTTATGAACGGCCAGCTGTGTCTGCCACGAACACAGGCGGGGAGAAACGGCAGCGCCCGGTCCATGTGCTTGTCATTCAGTCCTAAGGAATGTCAGCGGGGCTTCACTGGCCAATGCGCTCCTAGAACGCCTTAGTCCTCTCGGAAACCCTCTAGCCCATTCTGGGACGCCAGCCGCTCCCCGATATGAGGGTGCTAAGTGATGAGACAGGACAACCACAGCCCCCTCTAACATGTCCTCCCTCAGAACCGTCTCAGAACAAATGCTACAGGGAGCACGGAGCAACCACTGAATGGGTACTCCACCCTTCCGAGTGCATTCCCTAGTCCTCTGCTTTTCTAGAAACACTGTCTCACAGAGAAATGAGCTTGTCGGCCCAGAGGCAGTCAATGGTCCCCACACGGATCCAAATTCCTCTTTCGGAGGAACATTCCAAGCACAAGGAGCTACGGGGCTGGGGGTGACGAGGGGCAGCTCCCTGTCGTAGTGGTTCGTTGACTGAATGGAACGGGAAAAATCACCATTCCTTTGGCCAAGTCAGAGTAGCCATTTAGGTCACGAAACTGCTGGTACTCAAAATTGGGTCCTGCCCAGAAAGCAAAGACAAAATAAGAGATGTCAAGGGTGTGTCTCCCAAGGGCTGACATCCCCGCGCCCCAGGTTTCTCCCTAGAAGCAGAGCCCAGAAGACAAGGTCGGGCACAGAGAGGGTGTGGGTCAGCGGCGGGATTCCTACGCGCCCGGGCAGCACCCGCCTCGGCCGCCACACCCACGCGGGCTCACCTGTGATCTGCTCGGCAGCCCAGTACTTCCCCACGGTCTCCAGCACCCAGGCCTCCTCACGATCCACGATCAGATACGCGCTTTGGAAGCTGTGGCAGGAGTCTGCGTCTTCATAGTAATTCCCACCTTGCCCGTGTTCTTGCAACAAGGCGACGATGACATCTAAGGCTCCTTTAGCTGTCGTTCCTCTTTCTAAGCCAAGCCTGGAGCAAGAAAACCGGAGGTATACCTCAGTCCCTTCCTACCATGTGCTTTTTGCCACGCCAACCAAAGACTGGGACGAAGCCGAGGGACAAAGCGCGCCAACACGCGTCAACACGTTCGGTCCGCGGGCCGAGACGCAGATCACGCCGCTTGAACGCAGAATACATCTCTCCCACGTTCGGCTCAAAACCATGGGGGTGTTTTCTGTCTTTGGGCACCCCCCTCCCACACAGACGGAAGAGTCAGGAACCCAGCGGCTTCTCCCTCGTGAAGGGCAGCTCGCCTGCCCTCTCTGTTCCTTTTCTAACTCTGGCTCCCTTGGCACTGGCCAGCTCAGCTCCAGCCTTATCAAGACCCCCTTTCTGGGGCTTATCCTCCCTCCTGCCTCTGGGCAAAAGGAAATCTCAGACGCCAGGTATGTGGGTTGGTAATAAAAGTGTTCCATAGCCAGCCACTGTCCTCGGTGCATATAATTTACTCAGAGATCTCACTAGGAATGGGTGCCTGGTTGGGACATCCGTGCTTTTCAACATGTCTCTCCTCCGACCTATCAGCCTCCCTCTACTGCTGTGGCTTACAGCTTCACTTATCAAAAAGTACATCCTTCTTCTGAAGTGACACAGCAGTCTCCTCCCAGCCTTCCAATTAGTTGGCCCCCTAAAGAGGGCACAGATATTGCCCTCTGCTCGACCCTGGGCGAGTTGTGTACTATATTTGAACTCAAATTTATGTCACCTGTAAGTACCTACATCATCAGGTTGCTCTGAGGACAGGTTTATGAGATAATGAATGTGAAAATATAAGCACAACTGCCCAGGCCCACGTAGGTGGTGGGTACGTTCGAGAGGCAGCCCCCTCTGGCAGAAAAACAGTGACTCAGAGAGAGAGAGAGGGAGCCAGCTTCCAATTCTGGCTGTGCCACCCACTGGCAGCATGACCGTCGGTAACCTAACCTTTCTGAAACCTGATTTTTTCATTTGTCAAGTCAAAAAGGCAGTACGTCCCTCTCAGGCTGATTCGAAAGAGGATGGCACATGATACGTGCTTAGCACACGTCCATGTATCCATCTCTTCCTCCACATTATAATTCTGGGGCCAGGAGCACAAGAACTTCGGAGCAGAGGCAGCGGTGCCTGCTAAGATGGTCGTTGTCAGCCAGTTCTCGGGGAATTGACAACAGACCAATCGTTACTAAAATTCACCCGGCTTGATTCTTTTTGAAGAGACTTTCCCCGTGCTGCCAGGGAGAGGAAAAGATTATGCTATAGACGTATTCTTGTAACAGGCTTATTTTCGTAGTCAGATCATTATATATCAATTCATTGGGCATTTCTCAATTTTAGTTTATTTAGGAAGACTTGGTGACAAACCCACTGATTTGGAAAGCTGAACCCTAAGACCTTAGGAGAGTGATAAAAAATAAACTCATGAGAAGATCGGATTAAGTAGACTTTTCTGTTGGTCAGTGTCGTCTTCTCCAAAGAGGAATAGCAGAAGCAAGCACTCATCCGATCTTGAAGATCCAGAGCAAAGAAGTGTGCTATGAGCACCTCTACAGGTCTGCCCAAGCTGTGCCCCCTTCCTCCCTCCACAGGTCCCTGGGAGCCTCTGGTCACATTGCCCCATGCATGCATTCCAAGCAGAAGCCTGTCCCCAGGGCTTCCGTAGGGCTCCCGATTTGGCCATGCAAACATGTGCTAGGAGCATGTGCTACCTAGCCAGGGGCACCCCGCCTTTGGAAGCTGTGACTTCTTTTGTGCAGTGTCTAGCTCACTGTCCCGCTGTTCCGCCTGCCGCGTTCCACCCTGAGACGCCCAGTACATGCACTTGCCCTCCCACGCTGACTTCTGTGCCCTCCACGCACAACATCTGCAAGCAGGACCTCGACACTCATCCACAGACACGACTCTGATCTCACTCTCCTACCCCCGGGCTGGGACCACAGGAAACAATACGCCTTTGTCCACCCGGCCCCTCCCACCTCGCCTCGGTGCCATGGGGCGAGGACAGGACAGCCTGCTCCACAGACTGAGAACAGCAGCGGGGTTCCATGCTGTCCGGCCCCGACGGGGGGCAGAGGTGCTAGGGCTACAGCAGTCTAGGGTCATAAGTCACCCGATGTCAAGACGTCTGTTCCAAAGCCTTTCACAGTGGTCTGGCCTCTTAGATGGGGCAGATTCATGCGATTCAAAACCAGAACAGCATCTTTCTGGCCCCCATGCCTACTTCCACACTGGCTGCTTCACCTCATTATGGGCATGACCAGGGCAGGCAAAGGGATGAAATTTACTGGGCCAAGGTTAGAGTCTCGCTCTGACATCTACCTTCGGTACAATTCAGATCCTTCAAAAGTGTGTGCTTGGTCCAGGTTTTTCTGGGTCTTGGATTTAGCTGCTCCCAAATTCAAATTCTTGTTTCATGGTAAATCCTTGGGAGAATCCCTATTTGCAGCCCATGACTCTCACACACGTATGTCAAGCTCACTGGGCCCTTTCCTGAAAGGTTAACAGACCTGTCCATCGGTTGGTGGAAGCTACAGACCACAGAGGTCTCAGCGTAAATGTGCACTTCCTCCCTACACAGCCTACAAAGGGTCAAAAACCTCTACTCCTCTGCATTAAATGTTGGCTTTGGGAGGTTCTTTAGAGGTCATCCAATCTAAGGCCTCCCTTCAAACAAATGTAGAGACTGTGGGCCAGAGATGTGTTATAACTTGGTGTATTCACACTGAAAACCAAGGCCCCTGGCTCCCAGCCCAATATTTTTTCAACTTAGTCATGATTCTATTGCATTTCACGATCCCAGAAAAAAGAAAGTCATTTCAGAATGTCATTTTATTCCAGCCCACCCTCTCCTTTGGTCATTCAGTCCAAACCCAGTCATTGATCAGCCAGCACAGGCCAGGCACACAACTCTTGGTGCTTGTGACGCAACAGAAAACGAGCAAAGATCCCCATCCCACCAAGCGCACACGTCTGCTCCCCGCTGTAACACAGAGCAGGGAAAGGGAAACAGACGACGGAAATAAAGAGGGGACAGGAGGGACATCTGTCTCTTCTTTTTTCCTTTATATCTTATGTATTTTATATGATTCCTTTCTTCTTTCCTATACTTCAGATGTATTTCAAACCATAAACTTCACCCACTTAAAACATACAGTTCAGTGATTTTTAGTATATTTGCAAAGTTGCACAGCTATCACCGCAATCTAAATTTGGGACATCTTCAACACCCCACAAAGAAGCCCCATGTCCATTAGGAATCACTCTCCATTTTCCCATCCCCAACCCCAGGCAACCACTAATCGACTTTCTACTACTATGACCTTGCCTCTTCTGGACATTTCATGTAAATGCAATCATACAACATGCGACCTTTTGCGTCTGGCTTCTTTCACTTAGTATAATGTCTTCAAAATTCAAGCATGTAGCACTTGGCTCGTTTTCATTGCTTTAATAATATTCCATTGTAATCTACTCTCTTTTTGTCCTATCACCTTGAACTTCGTATCAAAAGGCACACGTCTTCTTTGGGAGGCTTGTGTTACAAAATATGAGGTCTGGAGGAACATAAATCCTGTCCCCATTCCCCGCCTGTTGTGAGCAGTCATTCCAAAGAATCACCGTGTACCTGACCAGATCCATCCCCAGTAAGGCTTCCGTCTCTGCGGCAGGTTCTCTGGCATCGATGGCTTCATTGGCTATGCACACTCCGTGCTCGTTGGCCCCCATTTCTGCCCCCCAAAGCCAGGCAGGTCTGCTTATCACAATGGCATGGGTCCTGGGGACTTGGTCGATTGAAATGTAAGTGCACTGAAAAACGAAGACGGGAAAGAAAAGACCATCACCTGCCAGGATCCACTTAGTTTCCACCCTGGTACTTACACTGACCCACCACATGAGTTACAAACAGAGCCCCCAAAAATGAAAGGCCTCAGGAACACCAGACTTAAAAAACACCCCAAGTCTCAACGCAGCTCAAAGTGCGTTGCCAATCTGGTGTCGGTCTCTGGCTCAAGCTCAGTTTACCCACAGTGCTCACGGATCCAGCAGTCATCTTCCTCAACCAGGTGTTCAGCCAACCTCTGCCCCAAATATTCTGTCTGGTCAATTCAGTAGGCACAGAGGGCACCGGAGTTTCACACATACATGGCTATTTATTCTCATAGGCAAAAAAATCCTTCTGGATCAGTGGTTTTCAAACTTCTTTAAAGTTATAGAGCCCTGGGTGCCTGGGTGGCTCAGTCGTTAAGCGTCTGCCTTCGGCTCAGGTCATGATCCCAGGGTCCTGGGATCGAGTCCCGCATCGGGCTCCCTGCTCTGCGGGAAGCCTGCTTCTCCCTCTCCCACTCCCCCTGCTTGTGTTCCTGCTCTCGCTATCTCTCTCTCTGTCAAATAAATAAACAAAATCTTTAAAAATAAATAAATAAATAAAGTTATAGAGCCCTACTATAGAAGGAACTTTACCTGGAGGCCTAACATAGAAAGTGGATTGAAGGGAAAATGTGTTGCCTGAAGAACGGGGGTTCTTATGCCCCTGGCAATGATCCCAAGGGCTCCCTGGAACCCAGTTTGACAACCTCCACAATTGCTCTAGTGGTAGAAAAGGGAACATGATGATAATATTTAACATTTAACGAATGCATTAAATGCTCTCCTATACACTGTGCTTCCCTGTCTGTCTCATTTGATTCACACACTAAGCCTGTGCAGTGGACACGCAAGGAGACTGTCCTGAAAGGGCATGTCTCTAACTGTGGTCAGGCCTGCAAGACATACCCCTTGGTGTTGTATATCCAACCTTCTCCAGGCTGCCGTGTCTTTACCTGGAAAACAAGTGAGCTACTCTAGATCAAACGATCTTTCACCTCAGAAGCCTGCCTTCACACAACTTCTTACATAGAAGCGTGAAGACAATAAAAGTAGTCAAAGTGTGTTGAAGCAAATGGAAGATGGGGCATGGGACGAGCTCACTCAGAGCCTGGCCTGCTGGTTCATCCCTCTGCCTCCCCACATTGGGCCCATGGGAGAGCTCCCTTGGAGAAACTGGAAAACCACTAAGCTAGGTTATCCGTAAGGGGCCTCCTGACTCTGGCACTCTATCAGTCTAGGACATCCTCCGTGTGGTGGATGCAGCATGGAATTCAGGGCTCTAAATTACACAGAGCTCTTTGGCTCTCGGGGGAGAATTTTATCAGCGGCAGCAACCGTTTACATTTTAAATTGGGCACTGAAAAGCCTTGGCTCAACTGGGGCCTTGGATCTTTTTCTGCTTCAAGACCCAGTTATATCGACTGAATGCAGCCCAGAAAGTTATTTTGCATTGATTTTCCATAATCTCTAAACCTTAGGTAAGAGCTGAAACGAGTGTGGCATGCACACTCATTGATGAGGTGAGACACGTATCCTCATAATCCCTGTGGGGTGTCACTCTGCACTGGGATAATGTTGTTTCACTTGATAAATATTGGTAAACTTACAGCTAATTCAATCCAGAGACTCTCAAGAGACTCTTGAGTTTTTCATGGCAAACTGATAATAAAATACACTCTTGAAATGTTCTCCCCTATTCAGTTCCCAAAAGTTGTTTACTTTGAAAAACGATTCTGTTAGAGCAAAAACCTAGCCAAAGCAGCAAACTATGGTCCTCTGTGCTCTTCTAATTTGTAATTGAAATTTATATCTTATAATTGTGTTTTTTCATGTAAAAAGCAGTTCAGGCATTTGACCAACATTTTCCAAAACCCCTGTGCACACTGAGCTCCAGTGACAAATTCTGTCTTGAAAATAATGAGGAAATATGGAAGGAATTTAAGATTTTTTTTTAAGATTTTATTTATTTGTTTGAGAGAGCGCACGCACAAGCAGGGGGAGGGGCAATAGGAGGGAGAAGCAGGCTCCCCGCTGAGTGGGGAGCCTGACAAGGGGCTCAATCCCAGGACCCTGAGATCATGCCTGAGCCAAAGTCAGACGTTTAACCGACGGATCCACCCAGGCGCCCCTTAAGATTCTTTACAGATTTATCGTAAAGGTTTTTTTAAGGGAAGGAAAAAAGTAAAAATAAGAATGGGTTTATTTGGGGCGCCTGGGTGGCTCCACCAGTTCAGCATCCGACTCTTGCTTTCGGGTCAGTTTGTGATCTCAGGGTCTGGAGACTGAGCCCCACGTTGGGCTCCATGCTCAGCAGGGAGTCTGCTTGAGGTTCTATCCCCCTCCTTCTCCCTCCCCTTCTGGCCCTTCCCCGGCCCCTCACACGCACTCTCTCTCTCTCTCAAATAAATAAAATCTTAAAAAAAAATAGAATGGGTTTCCTTATTTGTCTTCAAATTCGTTTTTACACATTCATTTCCATATCACCATTTACAGAGCACAAACCACACACAAGGCATTTTGTGCTAAGTGCTACTGGCAGATAAGTCAGTAAGGATGCCCAATTCCTGTCCTCTCAGTTGGGAAAGAAGGAGAAGGTACACATGCAAATTACCACGGCCACCAGCCCAACCTCAGTAGCTGTCACTGAAGCTGTAACGCCTATGTCACCTAATGTAGACTGCATCTTCCCCTTCCTCCCACCTTGTACATCTGATCAATCTGATCCTGCTTTTTTTTTCACATTCCATTCCATTTATCCCTCTCCAAAATACTGTACAATTGACTCATGTACTGCATATGCTGTTCATTATGTCATCTCCCCCAGCTCCAAGATAAGCGCCGTAAGGGCAGGGAGATATCTCCGTGGTTTAGTTCACTGATATATCCGAAATCTGGTACACACTAGGCATCAATAGATCTTTTTTTGAAAGAATGAATGAAGGAATGAATGAAGGAATAAGTGAGCAGCAAAGATCAGAGGGACATAATACAGGTTCAAAGAAAGAGGAAAATTATCCAAGTGACAGAGGCTTTATCAAGTGGTGACATCTGAGTTGATCTTGAAAAATGGGCTAGACATCAAGGTATTCCAGAAAGAGGTAAGAGCCAGAAAAGAGAGAGAGATGGGGATGTCAAAGGTGTGTTCATGGTCCGGGGACACCCTCCTCTGTGACGCTCAGGGTAGCTACTGCGATGGCATTGAGTAATAGGACTGCAAGAGCTCAATAAGTACTGACTGATAAAAATGTTGAAAACTGAATCCAAAAGACCATATGGTCTTCGTAGGAGTTCAAAATATTTGCAGCCAACTTGACACTTTTTTGCCAAACTCAGAATGAGGAGGAAGAAAGGAGATGCCCAACTAGCCAGATGGGCCAAATCAGCCCCTCCTAAGCACTCGGCTGAAAGCCAAAGCACCAGATCCCCTCATATGCTACACAGCGCGTGGGTAGGGAGATGGGGAAATGGGGGGGGCAGTGCGCCCAAGCCTCAGTGAACCTGTAACACACCCCCCTTAGGGCATCTCTGTCATGGACTACAGCAGCCTGGGCCTAACAAGGACCCTTCTGTGGCTGCAATTCACACACACTCCATTGTGTTTGGAATGTGACTGATCACACCCAGGTCAAAGCAGATGGTCATGCTTGTCTCATGTAGATTGGTTATCTAAGATCCTCGTCTGGGGGCAAACCTCATAAATAGGAAACGTTTACACAAGAGGTAATTAGCTAAAGTTTGTAAAGTCAGCCATCTAGAATGTGAACTCTGCAGGCAGTCATTTCTTTTTACAATAAAATTCACCGACCTTCACAATTGCCACCTCATTAATGAGGCAGACAGTAAATGCGATTGGAGGCAGCAGGGAAGGTCTCACCAGGAAAAAAAAAAAAAAATCCAAACAGCACCTGAAATCTTCTTTCAGCATGACAAAAACAATTTAGTATCAAGTCAAAATTCATAGTCAGATTTCTAGCAGAAAACAGAAACAAGAAAGAACACGTCCACCACTCAAAAGATCAATCTTTCCAGGGATGGTTCTGGCCTCGGCTTTGGTGATGAAGCTGTTGAAGAGGTCTGCAGAGAAAGAGGAGCAAACCGGCTTGCTGCCCTACGGCCACTCCCACCCTGCCTTTAATAAAACAAATCCGTCAGCTAGCACGACTTCGGGGGCCAAGGCCACATAACAACATAAGAATGTCCAGAGTGGGGCACAAGGTGAGGCATGCTGCTCAAGGTGGGCACTGCCTAATGCTAATCGTCGAGGTTTTAAAGGGGCCGCCTGCACTGAGCCTGTCCCCCTCCCAGGGGACCCGTGCCAGGTTGGAAGAGAGAAAAGATGAGCCTTGACAAAGCCCTAGAGACAGAGACAAAAGACAATTCTTCTGCAGAGCAAGCCCTTTCTTATTTTGTGTGATTGTGTCAAAAATGAAAAAGCAAAATCAGCTTCATGCTGTCGCCTACCCTTTGCACATTCCAGCACACTCTTTCTGGACATCACCCAGTGAAAGGGGAATAGAGACACTGACACAATAGATGTTTCAATTAAAGAAATGCAACCATTGTGCTTCCTACTGTACTCAGATGGTGAACACAACCGTGGCACCACCAGTGAAAACCGCTCTGAAATGAGTTGATGAGTCAGCCAGACTTCCTAGGGTGGGGGGAAAAAAAAAGAGCAGGGAAAATGGGACGCTTTGGAGGAATATTTTTAGTTTTAGAAAATTTGCTCCTAAGGCAGCATTGCTAATTATCACTGAGGTTTTGGGGGGGTTGTTTTTGTCTTTTTTATTCTAGTGTCTTGCCTGCTACTTGACTGGTTTTTGAAAAATGTGCCCTTAAGGTTCATATGATTCCAAATAAAGACAAAAAAAAAAAAGAAGAACGTCAGCCACATTTTAGAAGAGCTGCTTTTTTATTTCCCTGAAGCCATTAGATCTTTG